TGGATCTAGGGTTTCCTCATCAGCATGTCTAAAAACGTAAGTAAAGCCGACCCTTGCACCATACTTCCAGGCACTTATTCTTTCGTCGTCTCACTGATACCAGGTTGTAGTCCAATGTCGTGGTTTTCTGTAGTTGTCTTGCCCTTCTTTTGTCGTCTCACTGATACCAGGTTGTAGCCTAGTGACGTAGTTTTCTGTATTTGTCTTGCGTTTCTTTTGTCGTCTCACAGATACCAGGTTGTAGCCTAGTGACGTAGTTTTCTGTATTTGTCTTGCGTTTCTTTTGTCGTCTCACAGATACCAGGTTGTAGCCTAGTGACGTAGTTTTCTGTATTTGTCTTGCGTTTCTTTTGTCGTCTCACAGATACCAGGTTGTAGCCTAGTGACGTAGTTTTCTGTATTTGTCTTGCGTTTCTTTTGTCGTCTCACAGATACCAGGTTGTAGCCCTGGGTCATGGTTTTCTGTCTTGCACTTCTTATGTGGCATGGGTGATGAATTTGTTCATCTTTTTGCAGGCTTTTGCTACACCATTTATCCATGTCTTTCTTGGTCTTCCTCTCGCCTTTGTTCCACATGTTCTGCTGTAAAGTCTCATATGCAGGTGGCTTAACCACTTCATTCTTTGTCAGTATAATCCATCTCCATGACCCTATGTGGGTTTAAGCGCCCCATCATAGGGAAAAAAGAATAGACCCACTGCCTCCCCAAAAAACATGTTGGGAAAGTCAACTAATTGGGAGCTTCCTTGGAAGTCATAGTGCATCTACCTGAGAGGCAAGAAACCATCAATCTGCAAACAAATAAGTCAGATTTGTAAAATGGATGGGCACTCAACACTTAGGTTCTGGAACAAGACTAAAGTTTAGAGGTGGATGAACAACAGAACTTTCTGCCAGAGTTCACAGCTGGTAAACATGAAAAAGAAAAATATAATCCAGACATAGTCTTATTCCAACTTTCTCTCTAATGCTTGTATTCGTAACCTTGTCTCTTCTTGTGTTGTTAGTGACTTTGTGGAGGCAGCGCATTTCACATGTAGTTATTTTCCCAAACACTATTAGTGTGTACAGGGACCTTTTCTTGACTTCTCACAGTTTATGGGTTAATTTAAAAGAGTGTTTTAAGGTGAGAGTTAAAGCTAATCGTGCATCCTTTACAGGAACCAGCCCCAGCATTTTATTTTTACTGTTTGTGATTTACTGCACAATTTTACATTCAGTAGTTAAAGGTAAGAGGGTTGTTACTGAAATGTTTTCCCAAATGGCTTAACCGTGTGAGTTGAGATGCCACTGATCGAGCACTGCTGTCCATTACAAGTCTTAGAGAAACTGCTAAACAGGCATTGCTGTCTTTGGACAGCCCCTGACAAGCCTAGTTAATAACATTGGTTCTGTTAGCACCTGCACAGTGTCTAGGGCCAGATATGATTATATTGACTTTAGGTTGAGGTTTAGACGACGGATCAACGTCATGGCACAAGGGTAGTTACCCGTAAGTCCTCCGCTCTACTTTTAACTCAAACCCGAGTCCGAAGAATCTATGCGCAGTGCATGACTCCATAGCACCAGCAAGGATCCTGAAATACTTTAGGTAGATTTTCAGCTGCAAATTTTGCCTGGGCAGCACCGTTAGGCTAATCATTTGTAATTTCTAACTCCCAAGAGATTTTTTTTCTCGAGCGCAGCAATACACATTGAAGTCTGATCTTACTACCCAGAGACCAGTGGAAATTACTAGAAGTCTATGTGAAAAAATCCCAGCCTTCACTGGGGCTTGAACCCGGGACATCCAGCACTCAAGGCAGACGCCATGCCCTGAGACAACGCAGCCCCCTGATTATATTTACTTAAACTAGCAGGGGGAAGGGGCTTGGGGGTTTAAATAAGGCTTTGGTCAAGATAATTTTATTCATTACATTTTTACAGATAATAGATAGTCGAGCCAGAGTGTGTTTGGTGGCTTTCTGTGCTGTGATATTATGAATTTCCCACGGTGTCAGTGACTCTCTTAATTCATCTTTGAGGTCTCTCTCTTAGGATTTCCATTTCAGTCTTTTTTTTTTCTTCAGTGAATTTAACAATGAGTTCTGCCCTTATCACTTTATTTCTCACACAATCTGTTCTGATTTTGTTTTGCAGCCTTTCTGAAACATAAAACTGGTGTTCGTGAAAATTAATGACTTTTAATAATAGATTTTGGCGTGATGTTGATTGCCCACGGAATACCAGTTGGTCTTAACAGCAGTTATGTCTGGTACCATACACTCAGTGTACCAGCGGTGCGTAAAAATCCTTAATAATAAATATAACAGAAAGAGTTCAGTGCGGTAGGACATAATGTTAAAAATAATTATTGTGCTCTTTATTTAACGTACGGCGATCAAAACCTACTGCTGTCTGCGTGGATTTTTATTATGGTATGGGGTGTCGCAGGTTGACCCAGCCTAAAATGGGTACCAGGATGGCTGTCCTGGGTAAGTAAAGACGGCTGGCGTAACGCTGACCACATAAGCCACATTGTGCCGATGATCTGTAAAAATACGGGCACTCTTCTCATGTACCCGATACGCCTAAAGGCGTGAAAAGGAATCTTTACTTGCTCTTTATTTCCATTCATTTTGAAATGGTTTTGCCATGAGTATCCTAAGTAAATTAACAAAGCAATGCATGATCAATTGATGTATTTGATTATTATCGTGAAAACCTTTATTGGTTCTTCTGGCATGCTGTAGCGAAATACGCTCCATATAGATATATGCCTGGTTGTATAGTTCCCCACGATGTTACCATGCCTTGTGTGTTTATTTTGTTCTCTGCATATTGAGAATGCAAGCTTTGGAATTACATTGTTGCAATTAAAAAAAAACTCACTGTCTTTGCTAGGTTTTGGAATAATACAAGAGCATCTGGCTGGGCAGGTTAAAATGTTGGGCTGTTTGAGAGTCCCAGGTTCACCATTTAACTCTTTAAGTCCCAAGGAACGCATTATATATTCGTGAATTCCTACCTATAAGCACAATTTTCGTATGATGTACCGCTTTTATGTCTCTTACTACCCCTTGAGCCTATGATGCTAAACCCTCTAGGGTTCAAAGAGTTGAAGAGATTACTGTTTCTTCCTGTGGGTTCCAGGGCCCTATTGTTTGGGGAGGAAAAGAATAGACCCACTGCCTCCTTATCAAGCATCTCGCCAAAAAATTACTATCTGGGGATTTTTCCTACGAAGTCTGGGCCTGAGAGGCGAGGAACCAACAGTCCTTATACAAATAAACAGATCTGCAAGCAAATTTCAAGATCTGAAATAAAACTGAAGTCCAGACCCCCGTGTGGATTCCGGGACCCCATTGTAGGGAAAACATGTATAGACCCACTGCCTCCCCAAAAGCATGTTGTAAGAGTCGACTAATTGGGGAGCTTTCTTTGAAGTCGGAGTGCATCTGCCGGAGAGGCAAGGAACCAACAGTCTGTATTCAAGAGAATGAGATCTGTAAAAGTGATGCACACGCAACACTTAGGTTCTGGAGCAGGACTGCAGTTCAGTAGTGGACGAGCAACCAGAACTTTCCGCCAGAGTGTACAGCTGGTGAACACGAAGAAGAAGAAGAATGAAGTCCAGAAATGGACGCACAACTAGAACTTTCCACCGGAGAGTTTACAGCTGCTGAATGCCAGGAAGAAGATTAGTGGTTTGACCTGTCGCCCCAGAAACCTTATTGGGGAAAACAAAGAAACCTGAAAATCCCCCCCACCCCACCCCCTCCCCCCCTACTTTTACGAATTCATTCAAATAGAAAAGGTAAATAATTTTTTTTTTTTTTAATTCAAGGTGGGTTCGGTCACTGGATATTGAAAGGGATAAATAAATAAGAAGATTCTGGAAACCACACAGACAAATGGAAAGAAAGGATTAGCTTATAACAAGAGGAATTATATACAAAATAACAGTATGCCCCTGACAACAAACAAAGAGAAATGGGAAGCATCTTTACAAAGATTTATTTCACAAACTGATCATAATAATGGGGAACTTGAAAATTCTTTGTGAATTAATCTGTCGAATACCATAAATGATAAGTACCATTTAGGTGAGCAATTCAAAATATATATTGCAAAAAAATAACAAGCAAAAGACACTACACCAGGGCCAAACGGGTTCATATATGCCAACATAAAGGGCACAAGTTATGAAGACTTGAGGGAGATGGCTTCAGCCAGAGCATCAGAACAGTGTAATAATATAAAGATTTGCTACACAACTATTTAATCCCCCTTCCAAAAAACTGGCAAAGATCATTGCTTGATCATTGCTACCTCTTCTCTCATCACTTCTGTCAAAATGAGTTAAGGCCACATAATATTCCCATCCTCATGGGAAAGTTGCCCCCCATCACAGCGAGACTGATAGAAACAATCCAATAACTTCCCTACCTGTCCCGCACATTCTTGCCCATTGTGTCCCCTTGGTACTGTGCCCACTTTCATACTGGTCAGCCCCTGCTTCTGTTTTCCCGAAAAAAAGGCCTCCATTACTAATCTTTCCAGGCAGCTGTGGCATTTATGTTAAGATAATTTTTCTACTGCCAATTACTGCCCTTTTATTACCACTTTTGCGGTGTAGGCAGGGGGGGGTCTTTGAGCCTGAGGACTTACAGCTCCATGGCTAGTGCTGTCGCCACGACTGTGCAGGTGAGGATTTTATTTTGCCCCTGACAGAAAAAGTCCTCAGTCTTTCTGAGGATTTGAACACAGGTCTTGAGAGCCCAGTGCTCTAGTCATTCAGCAAACCGCTCCTCACTTTTTCTACTACGCTTCATTAATGATAAAAGATATGAATATATCACTACAGTGTTTAGCTGCACTCATTAACAATACAAATAGAGAAGATGATAATGTTCTAATGTTATCATTCATGATAAAGAGAATGGAGATAATATTGTACCTTTGTAATTCTTGTAAAGTGACATCTTGTTTGCATCAGTTTTGATATTTTCTTTCAACAGATGAAGCTCCCAGAGAGCCATCCTTGCTTCTGATCTTGAAATGGGGCGGGGAGCTGACGCCCGCTGGTCGAGCCCAGGCTGAGAACCTCGGCAAGGCATTTCGAACTTTATACCCTGGAGGTCAAGGTAGAATATTTTGAGCTTACGTTGATATCTGTTCAAGAGCTTTGTTGTCTTTCTTCTGTTATTGTTTTATGACAGTGGTTTCCAACCTGGGGAGGTGGGGCGCTGCATGCAAGAAAGTTAGGGGGCATCAAGCAATTTTGAAATTTTGTGCATTTGTACTTGTAATTATCGGTTTTTACTAACATTTTTAAGTGCTTAGTAATATTAATATCCTATGCCAAACAGGGTAATTCTGCAGGTCACGAGACAGTCTAATATTTCAGGGGGTGGTAGACAGGCTGCATGCGGTCGTGGGACCTAGGCTGCATGCAGTCGTGGGACCTAGGCTGCATGCAGTCAGGGGACCTAGGCTACACTCTCTCGTAGGACGTTGATAGGTTAGAGTTAGGGCAAGTTCTAGATGTTTTGGGGTTGTTAAAAGCATCAGCAGGAAAACCCAGTCTTACCACACTCTAAAATCTAAAATAAAAAAAAAATATTAGAATGTCCTGTGACATCATCTGGTGTAGGATATTACAAAAGAAGCCATTTTTATTTTTCAGTTTCATTATAAATTAACTATTTTGATTCAACATGATATCTCTCAATGAATTTTTAAGTTCCCCTTTATTATGATCAGTTTGTGAAATGTAATAAGCTAATCCTATCTTTGCATCTGTGTGTATGGTTTCCAGAATCTTCTCATTTATTGATCCCCTTCAATTTCCGGTGACTGAACCCCTCCAATTCAATTAGAAATCAAATTGTTAGTGACCTTTTTTTTTTTTAAAGATTGGGGGGGGGGGGGGGGGGGGATTCTCAGGTTTCTTTGTTTTTTCCCAGTAAGGTTTCCAGGGGGGGGGGGGGGGGATTCTCAGGTTTCTTTGTTTTTTTCCATCAAGGTTTTCTTTCCGGAGGGGGTGGGGGGGGGGGGGGGGGGTCAAACCACTAATGTTCTTCCTGGCATTCACCAGCTGTAAACTCCCCGGTGGAAAGTTCTAGTTCTTCCACTTCTGGACTTCAGTTTTATTCTAGATCTTGAAATTTGCAAAAGGCAGTAATTGGCAGTTATACATTGTTGTGGTTGAATAAAATAATTTAAACACTGCCTAATACATAAATACAAAAGCTGTTAGATAAAATAAACTCACATTTGACCTCACTTGACCTTGCCGAGACAGTGGATGGGGTTGAGAAGGAGAGAGGAGAACGCCAAGTCCACTTCCCAACAAACAAACAAACAAAACTTAAGGAATCTGAAGTTCTAGTGTTTTTTTTGTCCGACTGTCTTTTTTTTTTTTTTTTTTTTTTACTACTTGGAACTGGTTAAGGCTTACAAGTTCTAGCATGTGAGTCATATTCCAGAGAAAGAATGAATGTTGAATTTAGAATCGACATCACAGCACTAGGAACACCCCCATAAGCGCCTCATCTCCATCTTCAGCAGCAAATGAAGAGTTGCAGTTCTGATGGCACCAGTAACTGTCTGATTGTATACCCGTCTCGCTCTTCCCCTTAGTGTTGAGCATCTGCCAGATCCCCTGGTAACTCCTCGCAGCGCCATTCTTCTCAGACCGAAATCTTTCAAACAAAAGGTCATATACCAAAAACATCAGACGTCTCCGCCTCCTCCTCTTTGGGCAAGGGTCAGATTTTTTTGTTCCCAAGATGGCAGTCTGTTGTTTGTTAGCTGAGGTCAGATATCAAGGGTGTCTCAACCCTTTTCAACTCAGGGCTGGGTTTTTTTCCCCCTTTATCAGACTAATAGAAACTATCTGGTGGACCTCTCTTTTTCATCGGAGCTCCACCATATATTAGACTAATATAAGTTGTTGAGTGGGTGGGCCTCTATCCAAACAAAGGTCATATACCAAACAAAATTTTTATATCTTAACAAGACATATACCGAGTTGGACTTAAAAGAAAGCAGACTTCTACCGAGATATCACTGTACAGGAAACAAATCTGAGGAAATCCTGGTATCTTCTGCATTTACCCCTAAAAAGGCGGTTGACATTTCATGTTGGGATTTATAGCTAGGCTGAAATATCTGTGCCTTTTAATGCATCTCATCCGATTTCAGCAAGGGCCTAATTGTCACCTATAGGACATGAATGTTAAGGGGCAATGGGGTTATAATGAACATGCAGACGAACTGGTATCATTGGTGCTGAATAGAGTATAAAAACATAGACAGAACTGATATTACCTGTGCTGAATAGAGGATGAAAACATAGACAGAACTGGTATCATCGGTGCTGAATAGAGGAGCCGCAGCACAAAGTGTTGCGGCTAAGGCAGTCTTGTGTATATGTGGGGGTAGGCATAAACATATGTGGGGCTATCTGCTGTAAGCAATAGCATAACAGAGCTGGATACTCACTCTGGCAGTCTGTAAGATTGCTGAAGGTTGATCTGATCAGTCACTTGAATGAGGGAAGCAAGGGAAGTCTACCACATTATATAAGTCTTAAAACTAAATGAAAGCCGAAAAATAATACGATGCAGAGGCAGACCTCTGGGAAGGTGGACACAAGACATTGAAGATTTGTTGGCTATGAAAGCACATTAGGCTGTAGATTTGGCTAGAGAAAGAGAGATTTTCAGGCGTAACAAGAGTGATGTTCTGTAAAGAACCTATTGTTGGATGAGAAAAGAATAGATTAAGTTAGTGGATAATGAAAAGTTTCTGATGCTAACCTAAATACATCACCTAGGAATAGAGCCTGGCCAAGTATGTCAGTGTTGGCGTTGAGACTTTATAATTAACTTCTAATGGGAACAATCAGTGAAATTACCACTGCATAAGAGGACTGAGTTCACATGAGAATGCCCAGTGTGTAGTAACGTTGATTGATTGTGATACTTATAATATATGATAAGATAGCATAACATTGTTTGCCCTCACAGGACAGTTTGAAGCACCAGGGCTTGGTTTCCTGCGTCTGCACAGCACTTTCAGACATGACCTCAAGATCTATGCATCGGACGAAGGAAGAGTTCAGATGACTGCGGCAGCTTTTACAAAGGTGCAGCATAATCGATGTGCTGTGGTTGCCTTATCTCAGTGTCTTTCTCTTCTCCTCCTCCTCCTCCTCATTCTTTTTCTTCTTTTTCTTCTTCTTCTTCTCCTTCTTCTTCTTCTTCTACTTCTTCTTCTTCTCTTAGTCCATGCTACTGTGTGCTGATAATCATATTTGTTCACAGCCTTCTGATGTGTACTGTCTGTCATTTCTGATGCAGAAATTCTCCTATTCTGTGATGGCAAACTGTCAAGTATATTCTTCACAATATACTCACTTCTTTGGTTGCCTTACCTTCTGTAATTACTCAGTGACTTTCTTTCTGTCTTTCTTTGTTTGTTTGTTTGTTCCTTTTTTTTCTCTCCATCTTCTTTTTTTCTTTCTTTCTTTTTTTTTTGCCTCTTCTTCTGTTAATCTATGCTGTGGTATGTTGTTGGTCATCATATCCTCTCCATAGCACAAACCCGGGCCCAATTAGAAAGAAAACCTTCTGATGGTGTACCATACAAGGCATACACCAAAAGAGGATCAGAACATAAGAGTACATAGTAGACTTAAAACAGAAAGAACAAGAAGCAGAACCTTATATCTCCTTATTTTATTATAAGTTATTATTCTACTCCTAAAAACAGGACACAATCAACTTCGCAGCCACATGTTCAAAAAATTTAAAATCGTCAAATCAGCCAAGTGCACATGTGGATTGGCACCTGAAAAACAGATCATGTCCTCCAAGACTGTCCCTTATACAATATATCAAGGCAAAACTTTTGGCCAGGAGAAACACCGGTGCAAGTCAAACTTTACGGGTCATTGGGTGAATTACAAAAGACAGTTAAGTTCTTCATACTAAAGACAACATTGCAGATAAAGATAATTTATTCCAAGTGAATGAAAGAAGAAGAAGAATATCTCCTTCAACACACCCGAAGTGGTGAAAGAAAAAGGGGAAGAAGAAGACGTATCAGAGAGACTCTGCCAGTGCAGTCTGACCTCCCTCTAGGACTGTTGTATTAACCCCAAAGGGGAGGCAACACCAATACATTTGGAACTAAGCATCCTGCAGAAGCTGCTGATTTAGAAGAGCAGTGCTGTGTCTGTCCACACTTCTGAACTTCCTTCCTAGACCAGCTGTATTGTTGAGTTGAGTTTAGTCAAGAATTTACATAACAGCACTCAGGGCATTCCCATGCGTGCACCTCCCTCATCGTCAGCAGCCAGGGCAGAGTTCTAATACTGAAGGTACTGGTCACAATCTGGTTATATGTCCTTCTTGCCTTTCCTTTGAATGTAGTGAGCCGGCCAGACCCTCTGGTTACACCCATGTGCCTCATTCTTAGGGACATCCATTGTCTCTTCCCTAGCAGGCAGGCTCTACTAGGGTGACCGGCTACTTCCTGAGTCATAACCTATTTTTTCATATTTTTCATTTCATACGAATTGTCACCAGAGCTATGGAGCATGTGCTCTGAGCTTGATTTCATTTTCACCGAGCAGCACACAGAGAGTAAAGAGGAGAAAACAAGGAAATGGTGAGAGAAGAAAGCAGAGAAATAGAAGGGCAAGAGCCAGGAGATGAAGGCGAAAAACAGAACGGCTGGGACTCAACCATGTAAGAGTGTGCTTTTGGAACTTTTGCAGGGCCAGACAGAGAGGGCCCATACTAGAGAGGGTGATATTTGATTTTGATGTATACATACTTGAAGAGCTGAATGCAGACAATTATCATTGTCCTGGATGTGTCAGCTATGTAAACTCTGCTGTATTGTTAAATGTCTGTTCTTTTCATTATTGCTAATGTTCTCTTTGATTACTGTGACTTTGATATTTTTTTTAAGTGGTGCCAGGATATTTCTAGAGAAGTAAAGGCAGAAGCCATGTTGTTATCATACCTTTAGTACCAATTGCTGTATACAAATGATGCATCTGACATCATATAACACCAGGTAATTTGGACATGTCAAGCTCTATGGTGGTCTGGAGAGAACGGTGATGGAGGGTAGAGTTTCTGGAACATGATGCAGAGGCCAACTTCCATGAGGACGGATACAGGGCATTGAAGATGCATTGGCTGTGAAAGCACATAGGGCTGGAGAAAGAGAGACTTTCAGGTGTGCCTTGAAGAGAGCCATGTTCACTGAAGGACCTGTTGATTGATCATATAATATACTTGCATTGTTTCAGGGGATGCTGGCTCTAGAAGGGGAGCTAACCCCGATTGTTGTCCAGATGGTCAAGAGTGCCAACACCAACGGGCTGCTAGACGCAGAGTCCAACACTTCCAAGTGCCAGATTGTGTCAGTACTTCTGCCAGTAGTTTTTATTGATTTCTTTTCTTAAATAGTCAGCATCTGTTGCTAAGGTGTTGCGAACATGTTTCGTAATGCCGGGGTGCCGGGTTTAATCCCAGCTGCGGTCAGTTTGTCTTGCGTTGGTTTCGACAGTGGTACAGAGAGCTGACAGTTCAGTAGCAATGGCAAACTACTGAATGTATAATGTGCCTAGAAAAACCACAACAGCTAAAACATTATGGGGCTGCTTCTGCAGCATCCTGTAAAGGATATGCAACTAACTCACTTTTTCTTAAACATTAAACCTGTATCGTTTTTGGCTATTTCTTCATTGTATTCTTGTTGTTCACCTTTTTGAATTGGTAAATAGTCGCCATCGGACGTCGAATACACCCTGAGGGAAGTCTAAACTCACGTGCATGTACTCCATTGCACGGTTCAGACCCCATTCCGATGAAACTTTCACATTATACGTGAGCGAAAATAGCTAATTAGCGCCATTCGCCTCAACGGACGAAAAAGCGTACCGCCATTGTGGCTGTTTACACCGAGCCCCAGCCGTTCTGTTTTTCGCCTTCATATCCTGGCTCTTGCCCTTCTATTTCTCTGCTTTCTTCTCTCACCATTTCCTTGTTTTCTCCTCTTCACTCTCTCTGTGCTGCTTCGTTTAGTCAACGCCGACCCATTTTTGAGAAGCTTCTCTACAGCAACGACATTGTTGTCCTACAGGAAACACACCTCGGTGACGAGGTCGTTAAAATTGCGGGCTTCCAATCCTTCTACAATAGACGGCACCTCGGACAGCTCATTCTTGTTCGTGACCACATACCGGCCTCTGAGGTGGACATGTCTGAGTGGAATAATGACGACTTACAAGTACACGCAGTCAGAGTGATTGGCCCGGCCCAATTTGTGATTGTCAATGTGTACGCCTGCAATGGAAAGGTGGATACAGCGAAATGGCAGAGTTTGCTCCAGACGGAGGAAAAGAAAGTCCTTTACTGCGGAGATTTCAACGCCAGAGGAAACCAGTGGGGCAATGTAATCACTAATAAACAGGGGGAAGACCTGGAGGATGCTCTAGTGTCTGCCGATCTAGTATGCTTGAACGACGGAAAGGTTACCCGAATGGCAACACGACAAGGGGATTCTGACAGCGTAACTGACCTGGCCCTAGTATCTCCCTCCATTGCATCAGGATGCAGGTGGAGCACACTGGGATACCACGACAGTGATCACTTTCCTTGCGTCGTCCTGGTAGAGAAGAGCAACAACAAAGGTCATGTAATCAATGTGCCTGCTTTTATATATGACCGTACAGGGCAAGATGCCATTAGCAAAATCCGACGACGTAAAACAAGAGCAGATTGCAGACGGCGGGAGAGATGGGCCCAGCCACCATGGTGGAATAAAGTAGTCAACATGGCGTGGCTAGAAAAAAGGAAAGCTGTCAAGGCATGGCAAAAGGCAAGGAAAATTGATCCGTCACTTTCTGAACGCCTGGTCAGTCTAAAAGATGAGGTCAACAGTGGCTTTCAAGTTAATTGCGAAGGAAGCTAAGACAGCGAAATGGAACGAATTCTGCAAGAGCGTTTGCTCCGAGGGATCTCTTGTGACATTCTGGCGCCTTCAACGGAGCATGCACGGTGCCGCACGACCAACGGGTATCCCTGATTTTCAGGGTACAGACCTGATATGGCAGAGAACTGATGCTGATAAAGGAAAAACCCTTCTGGCGCACTACTTGGAGCAAACTGACCAAAAAGACGAAGCTACAAGAATAGGGGTTAAGATGAAACTGTCGATGCTGTGCGAGAACACTGTGCTAGGCACTGATCTCACAATCACTGCAGATACCTTAAGAACTTGCCTCAAGAAATCACGCAGCACTGCTCCAGGCCCTGACGGCATCCGATACAACGACATGATGATGATGTCGAATACTGATTTGAAAAGCATGGCAAAGGAATTCAATATCATCATCCAGAGTGGCCAGATACAAGAGGAATGGCTCCATAGTTATTTGTTCCCACTACCAAAGCCTAATAAAGACCACTTAAAGATCTGCGGCTACAGAATCATCTCGATGCAGAATACTGTTGGCAAACTTTTGGAAAAAATTGTCGCACAAAGATTGACCACCTACTTGGAACTACATGATAAGTTGCCACCAACACATGGAGGGTACAGGTTAAATAAAGAGACATGGTTCAATGCTGCAGTTTTCGCCTACGATGTGTACGAGGGATTTCAGATTAAAGAAGAGACATGTGCGGCAGTGTTGGACTTAGAAGATGCCAACAATAAAGTACCATATGATTATTTAATGCAATTACTGCTCAAACTAGAAGTTAATCCTATTCTGATCCGCTGGATTGCTGCGGTCCTGTTCCAGAGAAAGATTGTACTAAGATGTGGTAGCTGGTCCTCAGAACCGCAAACGATATGTCCAGGTTTGCCACAGGGATCACCGCTATCACCAGTCTTATTCAACGTTTATACGGTGATGATCACTGAGCAGCAGTTGAATGGAAAGGGAAGGACTTTGTCATTTGCTGATGACATTTTGATTTATCGACGAGGGGGTGATAGACAGGAGATCGCCAGCACTATACACAAAGAACTCGATCGAATTGCCGCCTGGTGTGATGGTTCCAATGCCTATGTCAATCCTTCGAAGGCATCAGTGTCATGGTTCTCTTTGAACAATCACATTGTCAAGTCGGACTTACCAGAAGTGAAAATGCGTGATAGTGTATTGATCAGAACCAATGTTATGGCGTTTCTCGGGGTGAGGTTCGATCGCAGCTTGTCATTCAGGGAACACGTTGACCATGTGATAACAAAGGCACGCAAAGGTCTATCTGCAATGAGGATTATGGCTGCTTCCAATATAGAGCAAAGACTACTAATACTTCTATTCTATGGTCTGGTCCTTTCCCCCATTGAATACGCTCTGGCCATTCTCACTGTCAGTGCTACCCAGATTGAACGACTCGAAAAGGTGCAAAATGAAGCCATGCGCATTATTTTGGGATGTACAAGAGACATATCCTGTGGAGCAATGAGGTATCTACTTGACTTTCCAACATTGAACCAAAGGATCAGGATGTGGAGGGCTCGGGCATATCTCAAAATATGTGCTGATAAGAAACACCCACTGCATCAAGCGCTTTTTAGTGAAAAGGGCGACAGACTGAAGAGGGGGAAATCGTGGCTAGGTCGGGCAGAAGATGTTATTAGGCAAATATGCAGCCTAACCGACATCATACCTGGTGCAGAATGGATACCTGTGCCTCAGGCGTTTATTTGTACATTTTCCTGTATTGTCACACTCAACAGGCGATGTAGAGAAAAGAATCCTGTTGCTGTTAATGCAGAGGTCAACGCTCTCATCGGTGAAAATTCAGACGAAGCAGATGCAATAATCTATACAGACGGATCCGTTATATGCCAAAGAAGAAGCGCATGGGCATTTACAGCACGCTCAGCGGGCAGAACAGTCAAAGAAGCCAACGGCGCCTTCTCCATGACAACCAGCAGCATGACGATGGAGGTGATGGCAGTGACGCAAGCGCTTGCCTGGCTTGAAACACAAAAATACACCCGCGTGTGTATACTCAGTGATTCAATGAGTATGATCCGGAGGGTTCAGGCAGGTTCAGTGCGAAGACAATGGCTTGAATCATTACAGAAGTCCACTGTGCGTGGAGTCACCTTCATTTTTGTTCCGGGACACGCAGGCGTCGATGGAAATGAAAGAGCTGACAGATTGGCTGGATCCGCTATCACTACCGACGGTCGTCCTATGGATCATGCTGATATTATCAATGCCCTCAGAGAAATGGGAAGGATAGAGGACTTTGGTGGCAGTGAATCAACATCACTCGCCAGAATGGCAGACTTGGGAATTAAGATCGGTACAGCAAAAAACGAGACGCACACCAGACACGCCAGAAGACTTGTTAATCAACATAGAACTGGTACTATTAGCCATCGGACGTTGGGGTTCATACTGAGGGGAGGATCTGAGCAACTATGGACATGTCCGGAGTGCAATGAGGATAACCCAACTAACTAACTGTTCACCTTTTTTTTTTTAAATCTCTTATGTAAGATTAGATAACATCCGACAGAAGAGGTATTGCTGAGATAAAGAACAGAATAGAACAGCCCAGACTGCATTTTATGAAATAAAGAACATTTTATGCAATAAATCCGTGTCATTGGAGGTTAGGAAAAGAATTATTGCATGCAATATAGAGCCAGTTTTTACATACAGCTGTGAATCCTGGATAATTAATAAACAAGCCAAACAATTTCTTAACGCCTCGGAGATGGGGTTTTACCGAAGAATCCTTAGAATTCCTTGGCTAGCCAGGGGGAAAAAACAGAGCAACTCAGATGTTTTAAAAGCGGCGAGGACTAGGTGTTTCAAACATCAGACCTTAAGTTTTTGCTCATGTTATGAGAAGAGGGAAAATGGAACATGTTGTGGCCACTGGAAAGATCTGTGAAAAGAGAGATACAGAGGAAGACAGCATGAAAAGATTCTTGACAACCTTTTGTCATGGCATTGAGAGATGTCAAAACACAAACTGGTGCACACAGTTGCAGATTGTGGTGAGGTGTGATCACTCAAGGCACTTGATGATTATGTAAAGTTGAGTCGGTAAGTTAAGTCTTATTGGTTTTGTGAAAGAAAAAAATGAGGACAGTTGGCATGTTGATGATATGGTTTATCATGGACACCCTCAGCATGAAAGTCCATTCATTCGTTCATCATCCTGTTGTGCCATTATCTGTCACATAGGGCTCACAGTCTGTGTTCCATTCAGTTGTGTCATGTGCAATCACTTCAGTATCATGGATGGAATCTGGTCCAGCACCTTTGGCTTCTCTGATCAACTTTCACTTTAAGGTTTTACTTGGATGTCCTTGGATATTCATCTCTTCCCAGATTGTGTCCTGTATAGAACCATCTTCTCTGTCTTACAACTGTTGATACTCGTGGTTGCCCAGACATTTCTCTTCTCTCTCATCGCCTTTTGAATTCATCCCATTTTATGTTTGTTATTTTTCTCAGGCATGACAATAGCCAGTGGCTGCCAATGTGCACTGGATCGCAAATTATTCCTCCCCACAACGTTTAACGGCAGAAGTGGTTTATGATGTTGATGATTTTTCTCAGGATTTTTTTTAGGGTGCATTTAATTTTTGTTCCATGGAAAAGTCTATAAGGCAGAAAATTTGGCCAGTGGTTTTCCTGTGTGCGATAATAGAAGGGATGTTCAGTAGAGGACCATCTACATGATGATGATGTGAAAAACTTTTTTTTTTAATGAGACTTTATCTTACATAATGTTGTTGTAGATATGTCTTCCTTTTTTTCTATTTGGTTTGTGATGTTTCTTAATTTGTATTCTCTTTTCCTTTATTTCTTCACTGTGCGTGTGTGAATTAGTGAGTAAGTGAGATAGAGAAGCATCATTAGTTTCATGATACAGGGGATGTTATATGTTAACGTCTGCACTGAAACTTTCTTTCTTTACTTTTTCTTTCATTCTTTCACTCTTTTTCTTTCTTTCACTCTTTTTTTTTCTTACATGCAGTAGAGTTGACTACCTTAATTTATAGACTGTTTATTTCAGTGTGAAAGAAAGATTAAAGGACATCTTCAATCAAGACCAAGATTTCACACAGGAAGATTTCCAGAAGGTAAGCGCAAGTTGGAAATGTGGAACTCTATATTATATAGTTCCAAAACTATTAAGTTACTATTTTCAATTCTGAAATTTTTCCGATGTGATGGAGGGGGCCATTTCCGGACAATGAGTCAGAGGCCAACCTCCACTAAGGTGGATACGGGACATTGAAGATGTGTTGGCTTTGAAAACATACGGGGCTGGAGAATTTGCTAATGAAAGAGAGACTTGCAGGTGTGCTGTGATGAAAGTGACGTTCTATAAAAGACATGGTGATTGATTGATTGATGTTATTTCAGTTTTATGATGTGATTGTAACTGACTCACAGAGCATGTTGAGAAAGGTGGAGACAGGTATGCTTCGTGCAGGGTGGCAAGCATCACTTCAGAGGTCCCGGGTAGTTAGCATCCTTTGGATATTTTCTCCAGGTTATGCCGGTGTGTTGGGAGATGAGCAGGCAGAAAGACTGGCTGCTCAGCACCTCTTGGTGGTGAATTAATGTATGTAAAGTTAGATATTGTGAGGGCCTTTTGGGAGTGGGTGAACAGTGCAGAGGGGCAGTTAGATCATTACAGTCTAAGGAGAATGGCGCTGCGAGGAGTTTCCAGGGGATTTGGCCGACGCTCAACACTCAGGGAAAGGATGAGACGGATATGCAATCAGTTACTGGTACCATCAGAATTGGAACTCTTCACCGAGAGCACTTCTGAGTGCTGTGATGTCGATTCCTAATTCAGCATTCAGTATTTTCAATATTCAGTTTTAACATTTGCCACCGAAAGTTGGAGAACCATTAAAGACAAGGAATGAAAGTTAAATGTATTTGATAACAAATGCCAGAGGAAACTGTTAAATTTTAAAGGGGATGAATTCAAGACGAGTGAAGAAATAAGAGAAATTATATGCAGGGCAACCGCTAGTATCAGCAATTATAAGACAGAGAAGATGGATAGGCACGTCTAGTCTCATAACTTAGAACTTGGCATGGACATGCATTTTATAGATCTGGCTTTTTAGCATTCTATAGATCTGGCTTTTTATGCAGACTGTTGGTTTCTCGCCTCTCATGCAGATGCACTCTGATTTCGGAGGGAACACTCCTAATTAGTCGCCTTTTACGACATGCTTGTAGGCGGTCGACATCTGTGGCTAAGGTGTTGCAGACGCGCTTCATAATGCCCGGGTGCCAGGTTCAATCCCAGCTGCAGGTGATTTGGCAGCAGAAATGTCTTGTGCCGGTTTCGTCGTTGGACTTGAGAGCTGACCGCCAGAAAGGAGTGGCAAACTACTGAACGTAAAATTTGCTTAGAAAAACAGCCAAATAATGCTGGGGTTGTTCTGCAACATCCCGTAAAGCATACGCTACTAATTTGATAGGTGGTAGTTAGGTTTTTTTTCCCTAAAAAGAGGTCCAGGAACCCACATAATGATCTGTAATTAGTGATTTATTTGAGTTGAAATCTAGTCATTTGTTTATCTTGCCATCTGTTTCTCTGTATATCTTGCCCTGTCTCTCTCTGTGTATCTTGCCATCTGTATCTGGTAGGCTTGTCTTTGTGTTTGGCCATTTATCTCTGTCTGTATCTAGTCCTTTGTGTCTTTAGACATCTACATCCACATATTTGCAGCTGGCAGCCACCAACAGCCTGTCCCTGATCAATGCCATGCAGTTTGTCAAGAACCCCTTCCAAATGTGCATGCAGGTCCATGAGATGATCAAAGAGTTCACGGCTCGGATCAGGTGTCTCAAAGTGGAGCTTAAATCAAGAGGTAACGTTTCATGGGGAGTCACAGTAACCAGCTAGTTTCACACTTGCCTGTCAGTTGAACTGGCATTGGTTCAAATCAGCATTCAATCAGATTTGTAATTGTGACACTGGTAGACAGCATTCAGACAGGTTTATAATTGTGACACTAGTAGACAACATTCAGGCAGGTTTATAATTGTGACACTGGTAGACAACATTCAAGCAGGTTTATAATTGTGACACTGGTAGACAGCATTCAATCAGGTTTATAATTGTGACACTGGTAGACAGCATTCAGGCAGGTTTATAATTGTGACACTGGTAGACAGCATTCAGGCAGGTTTATAAATGTGACATTGGTAGACAGCATTCAGGCAGGTTTATAATTGTGACACTGGTAGACAACATTCAGGCAGGTTTATAAATGTGACATTGGTAGACAGCATTCAGGCAGGTTTATAATTGTGACATTGGTAGACAATATCCAGGCTGGTTTATAATTGTGACACTGGTAGACAGCATTCAGACAGGTTTATAATTGTGGCATTGATAGACAATATCCAGGCTGGTTTATAATTGTGACATTGGTAGACAATATCCAGGCTGGTTTATAATTGTGACACTTGTAGACAGCATTCAGACAGGTTTATAATTGTGGCATTGATAGACAACATTCAATCAGGTTTATAATTGTGACACTGGTAGACAACATTCAGGCAGGTTTATAATTGTGACATTGTTAGACAATATCCAGGCTGGTTTATAATTGTGACACTGGTAGACAGCATTCAGACAGGTTTATAATTGTGGCATTGATAGACAACATTCAATCAGGTTTATAATTGTGACACTGGTAGACAACATTCAGGCAGGTTTATAATTGTGACACTGGTAGACAACATTCAGGTTTATAATTGTGACATTGGTAGACAACATTCAATCAGGTTTATAATTGTGACACTGGTAGACAGCATTCAGACAGGTTTATAATTGTGACATTGGTAGACAGCATTCAGACAGGTTTATAATTGTGACACTGGTAGACAACATTCAATCAGGTTTATAATTGTGACACTGGTAGACAACATCCAGGCTGGTTTATAATTGTGACATTGGTAGACAACTTTCAGACAGGTTTATAAATGTGACATTGGTAGACAACATTCAGGCAGGTTTATAATTGTGACATTGGTAGACATCATTCAGACAGGTTTATAATTGTGACATTGATAGACAATATCCAGGCTGGTTTATAGACATTGTCAGACATAATGTGACATTGACAACAACATTCAGACAGGTTTATAATAACATGTGACATTGACAGTTTATAATTGTGACAACATTCAGACAGGTTTATAATTGTGACATTGGTAGACAGCATTCAGACAGGTTTATAATTGTGACATTGGTAGACAACATTCAATCAGGTTTATAATTGTGACACTGGTAGACAGCATTCAGACAGGTTTATAATTGTGACATTGGTAGACAGCATTCAGACAGGTTTATAATTGTGACACTGGTAGACAACATCCAGGCTGGTTTATAATTGTGACACTGGTAGACAGCATTCAGACAGGTTTCTAATTGTGACATTGGTAGACAACATTCAATCAGGTTTATAATTGTGACACTGGTAGACAGCATTCAATCAGGTTTATAATTGTGACACTGGTAGACAGCATTCAGACAGGTTTATAATTGTGACATTTGTAGACAACATTCAATCAGGTTTATAATTGTGACACTGGTAGACAGCATTCAGACAGGTTTATAATTGTGACATTGGTAGACAGCATTCAGACAGGTTTATAATTGTGACACTGGTAGACAGCATTCAGACAGGTTTATAATTGTTGCACTGGTAGACAACATTCAAGCAGGTTTATAATTGTGACACTGGTAGACAGCATTCAGACAGGTTTATAATTGTGACATTGGTAGACAGCATTCAGACAGGTTTATAATTGTGACACTGGTAGACAACATTCAATCAGGTTTATAATTGTGACACTGGTAGACAGCATTCAGACAGGTTTATAATTGTGACATTGGTAGACAGCATTCAGACAGGTTTAGACAACATGGTAGACAACATTCAGGTTTATAATTGTGACACTGGTAGACAGCATTCAATCAGGTTTATAATTGTGACACTGGTAGACAGCATTCAGACAGGTTTATAATTGTGACATTGGTAGACAACATTCAGACAGGTTTATAATTGTGACACTGACACTGGTTTATAATTGTGACATTGGTAGACAATTCCAAGCTGGTTTATAATTGTGACACTGGTAGACAGCATAGACAGGTTTATAATTGTGGCAGATAGACAGGTTTAGGTTTATAATTGTGACACTGGTAGACAACATTCAGGCAGGTTTATAATTGTGACAGGTTTTCAGGCAGGTTTATATTGTGACATTGGTAGACAACATTCAGACAGGTTTATAATTGTGGCATTGATAGACAACATTCAATCAGGTTTATAATTGTGACACTGGTAGACAACATTCAGGCAGGTTTATAATTGTGACACTGGTAGACAACATTCAGGCAGGTTTATAAATGTGACATTGGTAGACAACATTCAATCAGGTTTATAATTGTGACACTGGTAGATAGCATTCAGACAGGTTTATAATTGTGACATTGGTAGACAGCATTCAGACAGGTTTATAATTGTGACACTGGTAGACAACATTCAGACAGGTTTATAATTGTGACATTGGTAGACAACATTCAGGTGGTTTATAATTGTGACATTGGTAGACAACATTCAGACAGGTTTAAATTGTGACATTGGTTTTCAGACAGGTATATTGTGACATTGGTAGACAACATTCAGACAGGTTTATAATTGTGACATTGGTAGACAATGGTAATTGTGACAAGACATTTTCAGACAGGTTTATAATTGTGACAGGTAGACAACATTCAGGCAGGTTTATAATTGTGACACTGGTAGACAACATTCAGACAGGTTTATAATTGTGACATTGGTAGACAACATTCATTCAGACAGGTTTATAATTGCAGGTTTATAATTGTGACACTGGTAGACAGCATTCAGACAGGTTTATAATAGATAATTGTGACATTGGTAGACAACATTCAATCAGGTTTATTTGTGACAGGTAGACAGGTTTTTATAATTGTGACATTGGTAGACAACATTCAGACAGGTTTATAATTGTGACATTGGTAGACAACATTCAGACAGGTTTATAATTGTGACATAGACAGCATTCAGACAGGTTTATAATTGTGACATTGGTAGACAACATTCTCAGGTTTATAATTGTGACACTGGTAGACAGCATTCAGACAGGTTTATAAATGTGACATTGGTAGACAACATTCAGGCAGGTTTATAATTGTGACATTGGTAGACATCATTCAGACAGGTTTATAATTGTGACATTGGTAGACAATATCCAGGCTGGTTTATAATTGTGACACTGGTAGACATCATTCAGACAGGTTTATAATTGTGACATTGGTAGACAGCATTCAGACAGGTTTATAATTGTGACGCTGTTAGACAGCATTCAGACAGGTTTATAATTGTGACATTGGTAGACAGCATTCAGACAGGTTTATAATTGTGACATTGGTAGACAACATTCAATCAGGTTTATAATTGTGACACTGGTAGACAGCATTCAGGCAGGTTTATAACATGTAGACATTGGTTTATAATTGTGACATTGGTACATCATTCAGGTAGACAGGCAGGTTTATAATTGTGACACTGGTAGACAATATCCAGACATAATTGTGACATTGGTAGACAACATTCAGACAGGTTTATAATTGTGACATTGGTAGACAACATTCAGACAGGTTTATAATTGTGACATGGTAGACAATATCCAGCATTCAGACAGCATTCAGACAGGTTTATAATTGTGACATGATAGACAACATTCAATCAGTAGACAGACATTTCAGACAGGTTTATAATTGTGACATTGGTAGACAACATTCAGACAGGTTTATAATTGTGACACTGGTAGACAGCATTCAGACAGGTTTATAATTGTGACATTGGTAGACAACATTCAGACAGGTTTATAATTGTGACACTGGTAGACAACATTCAGACAGGTTTATAATTGTGACATTGGTGACAACATGGTAGACAACATTCAGGCAGGTTTATAATTGTGACACTGGTAGACAGCATTCAGACAGGTTTAGACAATATAATTGTGACATTGGTAGACAGCATTCAGACAGGTTTATAATTGTGACATTGGTAGACACAACATTCAGGCAGGTTTATAATTGTGACACTGGTAGACAGCATTCAGACAGGTTTATAATTGTGACATTGTGACACATAATTCAGGGTAATTGTGACATTGGTAGACAGCATTCAGACAGGTTTATAATTGTGACGCTGTTAATTGTTTATAATTGTGACACATTCAGTTTATAGACAACATTCAATCAGGGTTTATAATTGTGACACTGGTAGACAGCATTCAGACAGGTTTATAATTGTGACACTGGTAGACAACATTCAAGCAGGTTTATATAATTGTGACACTGGTAGACAGCATTCAATCAGGTTTATAATTGTGACATTGGTAGACAGCATTCAGACAGGTTTATAACTGTGACACTGGTAGACAACATTCAATCAGGTTTATAATTGTGACACTGGTAGACAGCATTCAGATTCATAATTGTGACAGGTAGACAACATTCATTGTGATAATTTGGTAGACACAGCATTCAGACAGGTTTATAATTGTGTGGTAGACACTGGACACTGGTAGACAACATTCAATCAGGTTTATAATTGTGACACTGGTAGACAGCATTCAATCAGGTTTATAATTGTGACATTGGTAGACAGCATTCAGACATAATTGTGACACTCAGACAGGTTTATAATTGTGACATTGGTAGACAGCATTCAGACAGGTTTACAATTGTGACATTGAAAGACAATATCCAGGCTTGTTTATAATTGTGACACTGGTAGACAACATTCAGTCAGGTTTA